CCGTCAGGTGGTAGAGGTGAGAGGGAGGAGGCACCTCTTCAGGTTGTAGAGGTAGGGGGATAGAGGTGACCCCGTCAGGTGTTAAGGAGTCAGGGAGAGAAGTGACCCCGTCAGGGTGTAGAGGTGAGAGGGAGAGAGGGTGACACCGTCAGGTGATAGAGATGTCAGAGAGAGGAGGGTGACACCGTCAGGTGGTAGAGGGTGAGAGGGAGAGAGGTGACCACCATCAGGTGGTAGAGATGTCAGGGAGAGAGGTGACACCGTCAGGTGGTAGAGATGTCAGGGAGAGAGGTGACACCGTCAGGTGGTAGAGGGTGAGAGGGAGAGAGGTGACACCATCAGGTGGTAGAGATGTCAGGGAGAGAGGTGACACCGTCAGGTGGTAGAGGTGAGAGGGAGAGAGGTAACACCATCAGGTGGTAGAGGTGAGGGGGAGAGAGGTGACACCGTCAGCTGGTAGAGGTGAGAGGGAGAGCGGTGACACCATCAGGTGATAGAGGTGTCAGGGAGAGAGGTGACACCATCAGGTGATAGAGGTGTCAGGGAGAGAGGTGACACCATTGGGTGGTAGAGGCGGCAGAGACTCGTGATGCCCAGCTGGCTGCTAGGCTCCTGGCTGTGGCCCCAGGGCCCTGCACCTCCCCTCCAGAGGCCCCATCACCCTTCAGGCTTCGGGGAGCCCGCCTCAGCCAAGGAGGCCAACCCCCAGATCGATGCCCCGCCAGCTCCGGGCCCTGTGCCCAGTGCATCTGGCGAGACCCCTCATCCTGCCCTGGGCCAGTCCCTGCCTCCTCTCCCTAACGCGGACAGGTGACCATCACTGTGTCGAGGGCCTGCTGAGACCCGAGTGGAATTGGGCTGACACCTGCTCCCTCCCAGGCTCTAGGGCGCCCCCTGTGAAGGCGGGGAGGTTGGGACAGCTGCCCGCTGTGGCTCCTTCCCTCCCACCGTGCCTTCCCTGTGATTCCCTGGCCTGAGCGTGGCCTGCCCTTGTCCTGGCTCTCACCCGAATGATGGTGTCCCTGTCCCCAGCAGCACCTGTGAGCAGCACACTGGGCCCCGAGGGAGGCCAGGCAGCCTCGGGCTCACCGGCAGCAACCAGGGCCCCTCAGGTAGGTCGTTTTCCGCGATGAGACCGTGAGGGGCTCGGCCGGGTGGTGGAGCTCGCTCTCTGCTGGTATTCGTGTGGAATCGTTTCTTTTCCTATTTCCCAAGGATGCCCCCGCGTCCACCATCCCTGCACATCTGGAGCCCGCAGACCAGAGCGGCAGGGCCCCGGGGTTGCTGACCCAGGGCGGCCCGGCCAGCCCCCTCCAGCCCCCTGGTGCTCTGACCTCAGGGTCCCCTCAGAAGCAGCCAGGGCAGCGGGACGGCAGCTCTCCAGCCAAAACCGTGGGCCGGTTCTCCGTGGTCAGCACCCAGGACGAGTGGACCCTGGCCTCCCCCCACAGCCTGCGGTACTCGGCCCCGCCTGACGTGTACCTGGAGGAGGCGCCCCGCAGCCCCGACGTGAAGCTGG